ACTAGAAACACAGATGCCTCTGTAATTTGTTGGATCACTCTTGTCACCAGATTTGTAAATTGGGGTTATGAGGCCTTGACACCAAACATCTGGCATTTTTCCGGATTGTAAAATGAGGTTAAAAAGTTTGACATAGACAGGCATTAGTGGTTCGAGGCTTGCTTTGATCATTTCATTTCGTATTTTGTCAACAAATGGTGATTTCTTATTTTTCAATTTCTTCGCCGCTTGACGTATTTCCCTCTCAGTTATCTCATAATCGAAATGGGTAAACTGTTCCTTTTCGTGTTCTAAAGAATTTAGTTGCCTATGGATTTCATGTTCATGCGTGGAATTCGTCGGGTCAATAGAATGCAGAGATTTGAAATGGTGAAGCCATGATTCTTCCGAGATTGGGGCAGGAACATTTTCGTTGAAAGTGTCGCTCATCGAATTTAAACAATTCCAAAATGACGTCTTGTCAGGATTTAAAGCTAGTTCGTCGAGCTGTAATGTTTTTTCTTTGTGAAATCCTCTCTTCTTTGTGTCTAGGAGCTTTTTGTAATCATTCAAGGTTTTGTGATATCGTTCCCTCAATTCGGAGTTGAGGGGGTCACGGTGCTTTTCATTTGAGACTTTTCGTAATTCATGCCTTTTCAAGCGACATTCACAGTCAAACCATTTCTTGTTGGATGATTTCTTAATACGCTTATAAGTTTTCTTAGCTTTAATTTCTAGGCATAGCTTGGAGGTTTCAGTTAGAATTTTCATAGCGTTTTCTAAGGAGATATTCACATCTTCGGTGTTTCTCTCCATATATTGTCTAATTAGAATTTGGATTGGTTCCGTGCGCACTGCGTTTTTGAATTTTAAATGTGAGTCAACTTCCCAGCAAAATTGCCGTGGTAATTTTGATAATCTATTACTACTATTTGGAGTGTGCGTTTCGTCTCCAATTAGCCTGGTGTTAAGAGTGAGCCATGCCACGATGGCACTATGATCCGATAAATAAGATGGCTGTTTAACAACAAAATTTGCAACGTTGAGAAATGTGCACTGATCACATATTAGATAATCAATAACGCTCGTCCCGTTTTTTCCATGAAAAGTGGGTCTGCCTAGGGTATCTCCATTAACTCTGCCATTAACTATTCTTAGGTCAAGGGTTTTACAAATTTCCAACAGCCCTTTGCCCATGGCTATTCAAAACATTATCAAAACTATTTCTTTGAGTTGGCTGGAAAGCTGATTCCGGCTGATCATTACTAATTATACTGTTTCCCTCCTTTGAGACAGTAGCAGAGTATTTCCCGGTTCTCGAGTTAAAGTCACCCATGAGAATTATTGATCCTGTCGAAGAAAAACGTACTATGTCTTGTTCTAGCTGATCAAAAATTTCGTTATCGGAGTATTTTGAGTTACAGGGGGGTATATAGACACCACAGACGTAAATATTCTTCACTGAATTTAGAAAACGATTCTCAATTATAAATCAAATAAAATGCTGAGTTGTTTTAGTGATGGAAATGTTTTTATGGAATTTGTTCTTACATTGGTTTTACAAAGGACTACTACAACTAGGAAATGGATATTTACTTCAAAAACATTAAAGACTATTACTGTTTACAAGGTTTTCAATGTGATAATGACTATGTCAGCGACATCATTAAGTGATGTTTTTATAAATTAATATAGATATAAAATTAAAGGAAGAGAGTTATGACATTGAGACTGAAATACATGTCACTTTAAATGGAATATACGAGCCAACCTGTCATTCTGTGTAAAGGCATATTAAGTTTAAGATAAACTTTCACTAATAAAGTCTACTTAAAGTGATTGCTTTGTGTGAACATTGGTTTAATGCCACATGGGTGGAACCTACAGGAAAGGAATTGAGAACGCCGAGAGTCCTGATGTTTCCCGAGACGAAATCAACAAGGGAAACATCATTACTTGAGGAAAAATATAACTAACTGTTTTTCCGAGCGGGACCTGACATTAAGTGTTCTGTTATATTTCAAGACTTTCACTTCAACAGTGTCAATAGAAATAGTCCAAGCAATAAAAACAGTCGACTCGAATCAGTAATTACCGGCAACTACTAGTAACTACCAGCAACTACTAGTAACTACCAGTAACTACTAGTAACTACTAGTAACTACCGATGCCTACTAGTAACTACCGAAAACTACCAGTAACTACTAGTAACTACTAGAAACTACCAGCAACTACTAGTAACTACCAGTAACTACTAGTAATTACCAATAACTACCACCAACTACTAGTAACCACTAGTAGCTACCGACAACTACTAGTAACCACCAGCAACTACTAGTAACTACCAGTGACTACTAGTAAATACCAATAACTACCATCAACTACTAGTAACTACTGGTAACTATCAGTAAATACTAACAACTGCTAGAAACTACCGACAACTACTAGTAACTACCAGTAACTCCTAGTAACTACCGACAACTACTAGTAACTACCACTAACTACTAGTAACTACCAGCAACTACTAGTAACTACCATTAACTACTAGTAAATACCAATAACTACTATCAACTACTAGTAACTACTAGTAAATACTAGCAACTACTAGAAACTACCGACAACTACTAGTAACTACCAGTAACTACTAGTAACTACCGACAACTACCAGCAACTACTAGTAACTACCAGTAGCTACTAGTAAATACCAATAACTACTAGTAACTACCAATAACTACCACCAACTACCAGTAACTACTAGTAACTACCGACAACTACTCGTAACTACCGAGAACTACTACTAACTACCAGTAAGTACTAAAAACTACCAACAACTACTAGTAACTACCAGTAACTACCAGTGACTACTAGTAACTACCGATAACTACTAGGAACTACTAGTAACTACCAGCAACTACTAGTAACTACCAGTAACCACTAGTAAATACCAATAACTACCATCAACTCCTAGTAACTACTAGTAACTACCAGTAACTACTAGTAACTACCGACAACTACTAGTAACTACCAGTAAATACTAGCAACTACTAGAAACTACCGACAACTACTAGTAACTACCAGTAACTACTAGTAATTACCGACAACTACTAGCAACTACTATTAACTACCAGCAACTACTAGTAACTACCAGTAACTACTAGTACATACCAATAACTACCATTCACTACTGGTAACTACCAGTAAATACTAGCAACTACTAGAAACTACCGACAACTACTAGTAACTACCAGTAACTACTGATAACTACCACTAACTACTAGTAACTACCAATAACTACCACCAACTACCTGTAACTACTAGCAACTACCGACAACTACTAGTAACTACCAGTAACTACTAGTAATTACCGACAACTACTAGCAACTACTAGTAACTACCGACAACTACTAGTAACTACCAGTAACTACTGATAACTACCACTAACTACTAGTAACTACCAATAACTACCACCAACTACCTGCAACTACTAGTAACTACCGACAAGTACTAGTAACTACCAGTAACTACTAGTAATAACCGAAAACTACTAGCAACTACTAGTAACTACCGACAACTACTAGTAACTACCAGTAACTACCAGTGACTACCAGTAACTACTAATAACTACCACTAACTACTAGTAACTACCAATAACTACCACCAACTACCTGTAACTACTAGTAACTACCGACAACTACTAGTAACTACCAGTAACTACTGATAACTACCAATAACTACTAGTAACTACCAATAACTACCACCAACTACCAGTAACTACTAGTAACTACCGACAACTACTAGTAACTACCGAGAACTACTACTAATTACCAGTAAGTACTAAAAACTTCCGACAACTACTAGTAACAACCAGTAACTACCTGTGACTACTAGTAACTACCGATAACTACTAGGAACTACTAGTAACTACCAGCAACTACTAGTAACTACCAGTAACTACTAGAAACTACCAGTAACCACTAGTAAATACCAATAACTACCATCAACTACTAGTAACTACTAGTAAATACCAATAACTTCCATCAACTACTAGTAACTACTAGTAACTACCAACAACTACTAGTAACTACCAGTAAATACTAGCAACTACTAGAAACTACCGACAACTACTAGTAACTACCGATAACTACTAGCAACTACCAGTAACTACTAGCAACTACCGACAACTACCAGTAACTACCACCAACTACTAGTAACTACCAGCAACTACTAGTAACTACCAGTAACTACCAGTAACTACTAGTAACTACCAATAACTACCACCAACTACTAGTAACCACTAGTAACTACTGACAACTACTAGTAACTACAAGCAACTACCAGTAACTACCAGTCAGGGGCACCCAACGACCAATTTGTTGTAAAATGTATTATTATACCCCCATTAATGAAAATAAATGTTATTAAGGCATCTTCACGTGTTTTTCAGTGTTGCTGGGAAAATATTATCTGTTCCTTTTTCCCAGCAAGACACACAAGAAATTTCCCAGCCAGCTGATCAAATTTATTTCCCAGCCAGGAATTAAATTAATTAATATAAATGAAAGGAATAATAATGATGATAACAATAACAATACTTATATTAATGTGGCTAAATGTAATTTAGGCAAAGTTAACCTCGAAACAATGCTGGTTTCCGTTTGCAGTTTTTCCTGCTATACTGGGGGTGGCCCGATGCCTCTGGCAGGGGCACCTCGTGATCTATATATGCAGTTGCTTGCTTGCAGTTCTTTGCAAAGTGTTGTTGCAATAGCCTGCTATTTGTGTGTCATTCTGTTTTTTTTTTTTTGACAAACAGCTGTAATTCTTGTGTTAGTATATGATACTCTAAATGTACTGCTGTCTGGAGCAGTCTGAATTTTAGGAGACTTTTGTGAGCCTGGAAAGTGAGCGCAGAATTCATAACACCTAGCAGCATTGTACACATGGCAATTGTTTAACATACGTGCTAGGATAAACCAAGGTAATGCCCAGTTCCTTGCTATTTCCACAGCCTGAAAAATAATATTAAAAAGGAAAAAATAAGAGACAAAAGTTAATTGACTACAGCCAGCAGCAATACTGATTGAGTGTGATGTTTTCAAATCTAGTTATAGCCTTACTAATCAAAGCTATTGTCATCACAGGGGCCCCACACAAAGTGCGTGACCCTTGGTATTATTGAATTCAGAAGCAATGTGTGAGAATAGCAAGAAGTTCCATAATCATTACTGTACTATTCTATGATCAATATTATATTTTCATATAAGATGAGGATAAACCAACCTTTATCTGAAATGAAGTGCTGTTGTTGTTACATTGTATGGCTGGAAATGGCAAATTTTAGCAATTTTTTCCTGAGCAATGCAAGTCCTTGAAATTGAAGGTTAGTTTATTCTCATTTCATATGTAAATATTTATTGCAGAATAGTACAATCTTATGGAACTTTTTGCAATTCTCATACATTTCTTCTAAATTCAATAATACCAAGGGTTACCCACTTTATGTGGGCATCCTGTGATTGGTGGTATTTGTAAAAAGTAGACTCCACCCCTTTAAATTTTTAAGTGTAGAAACCTTACGCTTAAGTTGAAACATATTTATTTATCATGAATGTCTGCGCCAAACAACAACAAAAAAAAGGTTGAGGTAGCAATCTATTTGTTATCATGGTGTTGCAGTCAACCAATTTAGCTATATTGTATATCTTTCCACATCAACTGAAAAATAAAAAAAATTCCTTGATTCGCCTAATATGACAGTCATTATTTATAAACTTCCTCCACACAATACCAGAATACTGAAATGGATGGATAACAAGATCAGTAAAATTTCTGCAGGCCATAATTAGGTCTAGCAGTTGAACTGGTCCAAATGAACGGACTTTCTCCACGCTACAAATAATTTTTTATTTTGTCACAAGCCTAAATCAACCCGATGGAAGAGAGAGGGTCGTAAGAATGAACAAACAGTGAATGCCCATCATCACAAGCCTAACCCAACCTGATGGAAGAGAAAGGGTCGTAAGAATGCCTACTCGTCAAGATGGCGTCGAAAACCGTGACAAGGTCTATTCATATTTTAATCCATTTGCACCCAAGCCGTCTTTTGCCATCCTCACGTGCAAGTGGGTTCCTCACGTGCAAGTTGACAATGTCCATATTTTCAAACTGAAGTCGTTAATTGGGGTTTCCTTATTTTTGGCTGAGAATTTTAGCTTATGGAAAGCAAGCTAAAAGCGTGACACAGCTCTTATTATTTTTCAGTGCATGTTTGTTATCTACCTTCTGGCTACATATACAAAGGCTGGTTTCTATGTTAACACAAAAACAGAGGCTTTGCTGGAGTTGTCGAGAGAAACAAACCGTCTTTTTAGCGAAATAACTTGCATTAAAATAAGTACGAATTTTTCTTGACTCTTACCTTGTGTGTGAGGAAACACCTACTCGATCCGGTGGCTGCCTACAAGGCCTAACTGTAAACAAAAATACTGCTGTCAGTTTTTTAAAATTTGTTGGCTCAGTTCGCTTCAACTGTAAAAGGTCATCACGCACTAGACTACCACGGATAACCGAAAAAATGCATTAACACAACTATAATAAGAAGTCTTACCTCCGAAAACGCTGAACACACACTACAGGGCGCCGAAACTTAAATCTGTGAATCAAAATACAAATTACTGCTGTTAGATTCACTCGATTCGTGTCAATTCAGTGTAGAAGAACATCACGAGAACTTCAGCATACAGATAAAATAACAATGGGAATTAATCTTACATGTAAATGAGGAAAGTTCTTCGATCTGTACATGTGCAGACATCCGCGCGCTTTGAAATCCCTCGCAAAAATAACGGACACAAAACCGGTTTTTTTCCGCAAACGCGATCCCTCTGGCCAGCCGTCAAATGTTTGTCACTACTCTCGGGGGGAGGGAAGGGATACTTTTTTTCAGTCGTCCTCGGTCTTCAGAGTTTCTCAGCCAGCTCGGTTTAAAATGCTAGAAAAGTCAGTAATTCCCTGCCAAAGCCTCTAACAATAAGAAATTTCCCAGCCAGCTCATTAGAACACCTAATATTTTGCCAGCCAGCAAGATTCCTATGGGGAACAGATAAAGTGAGGAACAGATTCGTTGGGTGCCCCTGACCAGTAACTACTAGTAAATACAAATAACTACCATCAACTACTAGTAAGTACTAGTAACTACCAGTAAATACTAGCAACTACTAGAAACTACCGACAACTACTAGTAACTACCGGTAACTACAAGTAACTACCGACAACTACTAGCAATTACTAGTAACTACTAGTAACTACCGACAACTACTAGTAATTACCGACAACTACTAGTAACTACCAGTAACTACTAATAACTACCAGTAACTACTAGTAACTACCAATAACTACCACCAACTACCAGTAACTACTAGTAACTACCGACAACTACTAGTAACTACCGAGAACTACTAGTAACTACCAGTAACTACTAAAAACTACCGACAACTACTAGTAACTACCAGTAACTACCAGTAACTACTAGTAACTACTAGTAACTACTAGTAACTACTAGTAACTACTAGTAACTACCAGTAACTACTGATAACTACCACTAAATACTAGTAACTACTAGTAACTACAAGTAACTACTAGTAACTACCACTAGCTATTAGGGAGAAGACACAATACTACATATTACACAGAGTGTATATTACCGGTGCACTTGTGGCTTTCCACCATGAAGTATATACCACTCTGCCGGTTGTAAATATATACTCTGTCGGTTGTACACACTACTCTGTCGATTGTAGGTGCTATTATCTGTCGGTTGTTAAACATTAACTCTGTCGGTTGTATGTACTGCTCTGTTGGTTGTAAACATTTTCTCTGTCGGTTGTACGCACTACTCTGTCGGTAGTGTATATTTTAATACTCTGTCGGTTGTACGCACTACTGTGTCGGTTGTACGTAATATTCTGTCGGTTGCAAAGATTTACTCTGTCGGTTGTCAGCACTACTCTATCATTTGTAAAATTTACTC